TAAATGTTATTCCTTTTTCTTTTTTTCTTTTTTTGTAAAAACAAAATGGCATTCCCTCCACCCTTTGTCATCAGAAACAATTACCAAGATCACAGGGTTCAAAATATTAGTTAAATTTAATAAAAATAATAAATACATACAATGTGTGTGTATATATATATATTTTTTTCAATTATACTTTTTTTTGTAAAGAGAATACATGAGAGATAATAAATAAAAATTTATTGTAGAGAGATCATGAATGACTATATTGAATGAGGGCAAAAATGAAAAGACCAGTTTAAAATTTCAGAAAAAAAGAATTTATTTATTATATTTAAGGATACCACTATGAGAGAAACTGTTTGCTATAAAAAAGATGGATGGAGCATTGTAAAAAGAACCATTACATCCACCGTAAAGATTGAATAGAGAAAGTTTACTCAAAAAAAAAAAAGATTGAATACAGAAATTACTACTCCTCTTGTCCTATTTATAGGGCAGAGAGAAAATATTTTTTAGTCCTATTTATAGGGCACTGAAAAAATTTTTTTGTATAGATGTATAGTTTTACCTTTTATTTATTATTGTGTTGGTTTTGTTTACATGAGGTATAATACATATTAAATAATGATAAGGTTAAAAAATTGTTCAATTTTAAATAAGAGTTAATGAAGTTTAAGGTTTTCCTTGGTATATATAAAACGTGTTGAAAGTAACTTATAAATAGGACTAGAAGAGTAACTTAAAAAGCATAAATAAAAGAAAACTTATGGGTTACAAACGTGAACAAGAAGCACGAACAAAAACAGAAGAAAAAATTATCTAGTGTATATATGCAGCCCCACTAAATCCTGCCTAAGTAAGCCTGGGTGTGAAAAATTGAAGAATTGTTTTTCAATACGGCAGATATTTAGCACCCTTAGTGTTACCGTGCACATCCAACTAAAAACAGCCCAAAGATCGTACAAGTGGAAGGGCGGGCCATGATGTGCATATCTTCTGTTCCATTTAAAATGTTATAATACAATAATAAGAGTTGAGTTTAGCAGAAATGACCGATATTTTATAGCATTGTGAATTAAAGTTTGAAAGCCTGCTAAAAAAAGTGTTCATATTTTATTACCTAACAATGCTTTGAATAAGATTATTTTTTACAGGAGCATACCTGCTATATCTAGCAAAATAATGCTCACTATAATAGAAAATCTTGTTTTATTTTATTTTATACAATTTAAACATGCGCTAACGTGCCATGTTGGAATTTAGGGCATCATCCAAGCATAGTTAGTGGCCTTGTGGTTAGAGCAACTTCCCATACACAAGCAGAAAACCTCTTAAGCAAATAAAATCATGGCAAAAAAAATTTGTATCCAACTTTCTCGAGAACCATTTTTGGAATCTTGGGATATGTCGAAATAGCGTATGGTAACTTTACTTGATTAATGAAGGTTAGGTTCGTGAACGAAAGGGAACCAGTAATTTCACACTTCAATCAAATCATATTAACGAGGACAATGATACTTCCAATTTTTCCTCCTTATTATGACCAAATGCGCAAAAATCAGAAGAATTTAAATGGTTTCAGGTTTCTCCCTATAAAATATGATTAGATGGATAAGCCCAGTGAAATGGATTTTGCGAGCACATTCCATACTCATTAAAAAACTAAGCATAAAGTACTCCTCATAATTTAGACAATTCAGATTGATTTTGAATAACCCAAATTCAATTTAAATAGTTTTTATATTTTAAATAATTTTGTAATAGATACACAATTTAAAATAAAAATGATTTCATAATAGACATTTCTTTAAAAAATAAATTATTATTAAAGAAAATTTTAAATATCAGATCATATTTTCAATAATCCGAGTTTCACTGCAGTGATAAAAAATTTTGAATGGCATCCATTGATGCGATAATCACCAATACTAAGAGTAAAAATGCTTACATTAATGATGTTGGTGGACCTCTGGTGACGCCAAGAGCGTGGTCAATCTAGCAAGAATACAAGAGTGCAATAATGAAAATTTTCAGAGCATTTTGGGGTCAGACTCGGAGATATTACCCTTTTGCTAATATAAATAAGTCTGAAAGAAAAATGAATTAAGTAAATAAATAATTAAATGAAAATAAGAAAAAAAAAAAAAGCAACGGTCAGTAGTTTGTCTAAGAAAAACACAATTATTTTTGCCAACCTAAGAAATTCACAATTACGTGAAACTCTTTAGGTTATTAAGTTCTACTTTTTGAAAAAAAAAAACAAATAAAATTTATTAGTTATGTATAACAGTTCCTATTAAACAAAATACTCGCAACCTGCATAGAAATAATATAAAAGTTAATATAATTTTAAATCCCTGAAATTTGAAAGTTGAAACAAGTATTTGTTGTTTTTAATATTTACTTTGTTTATAAAAGTTAATCTCTCTTAGTTAAATATGTTTTCAAATTTTAAGAACAAAAAATAATGGTCTCAAAGTTTAGGAACTAAAATCAAAATAAATTCAAAATTTCAAACTTGAAGTTTGTGACAAGAACCTATATTAATATTTTTTTTTTGATAGGTAGGAAATTGAAAAAGACAATCAGACAAGTCAAAAAGGCAGAAACTAAGAGATATCCAAAGCCGCAATATATTCCAGTGCAGTTTCTCTGCTTAGGATTTGGAAGTCGACACTCCCCTCCAGCGCCTTCTTTGCAAGTGCATCCGCCATGGCGTTAGATTCTCGGTTAATGTTTTGCAGTTCCACTCGCCACTCTCGTTTGAGTAAGTTCTGTATTTCGGCAACTACACTCCAGTCCTCATGGAGAGGATTTTCTGCGCCTGTGATCGTTTGGATAGCCTCAGCTGAATCGCTTCGTAGTATAATATCTTTTTCTCCCAGGTCCCAGGCTCTCTTAAGGCCCCACAAACAGCCCCACAGTTCTGCGGTTAAGTTATCACCCTGTTCCAGCCTGTGAATAAAGCCTTCAAGAATTACGTAGTCTGTGTTCTTAATAATGCCTCCGCATGCAGCCTTTCGGTGAGTGTAAGAGAACGCCCCATCGACTTCTACTATGATCTTGTTGCTGCAGTTTACATCGCTTACTCGAGAAACGTGCCGTAGAGGGGTGTTTATGTTTGCTCCTTGAAGGGTTGTCATGGCGCTCTACATGCAGTTTATGATCGCCTCGGCTCTAGCGTGCAGCGAAGAGAAGTCCGTCACAGTACTTGAGTGAACGTAATCGTTCCTTGCTTTCCAGAGGAGCCAGCAAATTACGGAGAAGATGCTGGCCCAGTGACCTTCAACGAAGCTCACGTTTTTCCTCCTGTTCAACCGGATCCAATTCTGTAGTTCATAAGAGAAGAAGCTATGTTGAAATTCTGGTTTAATTATCGCCGCCCAGAACTTCTTGACATCCAGACAGTTTCGAAGTGCATCCAGTTCATCTTCTGTTTCCTGCTTACACCTGTCACATAACCCCGTTTCGTGCAGTCCTCGTCTGAATTTCCTCTTGTTTGTTATGCAGCGCTCGTGCTGGAGGATCCAACTGAAAGTTTTACATCTCTCAGGAATTTTAAGTTTCCAGATGCCTCCCCAATGGTACCTAGGCACGTCTCTGTCAGTATTCAGTGCCATGTAGGTAGATTTAGTAGTAAAGGATCCACTTTTATTCCATTTCCATCGATATACGGTATTTCCCTGTCTATCTTGTGCTTCTTGAAGGCCTGTTCTCACATGTTCCCAGCTATTCTTAATGCCTCTCCAAGTGTTCGAACCTGCTTTCTTCAAATTGACGTGAGGTAGTATATCATTGCCGCAGCCGTATTTGTGGCGAATGACCTGGGCCCACAAGGAGTCTCGTTTGTGGATGAGCCCCCAACCGAGTTTCATCATGAAAGCACAGTTCTGCTGTTTTATATGTCGCATGCCAAGGCCTCCACGGTTTTTTTCCTTGCACACTCCCTTCCAAGCAATAAGGTGCATTCGTCTTTGCTCATATGATGACCCCCATAGGAAGTCACGGGCTCTTTTTTCTATAGCGGCACAAGTGTTGTCAAGTAGGCACGCTGTTTGCATCGCATACATATGCATGGCATTAATCACTGATTTGATTAAAGTGCCACGACCGGCAAGGGAGAGAGTATTAATTTTCCAGCTACTGAGACGGCTCTTGATTTTGTCAACAATATAGCTATACGTCTTTTTAGAAACTCTATCATGGTGGAGGGGAACTCCCAAGTACTTCCCAAGGTCTGTTGTTTGGGAGAAGCCAAGTTCAGTGCTTAGTTGGGCTGCTCTCAAGTGGTGGACATTTTTAGAGAATAAGACTTTGGTTTTGCTTTGATTGACTTTTTATCCTGAAGCCTCGCAGAAGCTAGTAAGGCACTTTTTGATCACTTCTACCTGTTCTAAATTGGCTTCTGCAAAAATGAGCAAATCATCAGCAAAAACAAATGAGATATGGGAGGGCCATGCTTACCGAGTTTAATGGGTTTCCATTGTCCCTTAGTCATTTCGTTTTGAATGATGTGTGCTAGTTTTTCCATGCAAAGGACAAAAAGGTAGGGCGAGAGCGGGTCGCCTTGCCGAAGTCCTCGAGTAGGATTGAAGTTATCAGCTTTATCTCCTTCCCACAGAATTTGCATAGACGGTGTGGAGATACAGGAATAAATGACTTTGCGCAAGGTCTCTGGCAGCTTTATGTCTTCGAGGCAGTTCATCACAAAATTCCATCAGATACGGTCGTAGGCTTTTTCCAAGTCGATCTTGATGGCCATGAATCCTCTTTTACCTGTCATGGTTCTCATTGAATGGATGACCTCTTGTGCAACAATAATATTATCAGAACTGGTTCGGCCAGGGACAAAGCTGCATTGATTTGGAGAAATGATGCTCGGTAGGAAGGGCTTCATCCTGTTGACAACCACTTTTGTAATAGTCTTATACACCATGTTGCAAAGGCTTATGGGGCGAAAGTCTCTAATAGTCTCCGGACAATCCTTTTTGGGGATAAGGACAATGTAGGTGTGGTTAATGGCCCCAATGGTTGTTGGGTTGATAAAAGCTTGCTTCACTAAATTTATCACCGAGGTGCCCACAGATTCCCATTGCTTTTTGGAAGAAGAGGGCGTTCAAACCATCAGGGCCCGGCAATTTGAGTGCCCCCATGCTGAAAATGGCTTCTTTAACTTCCTCTTCCCTAACTTCTTTCTGTAACCTCTCCATCTGTAGAGCATCAATCTCAGGAAAGGTAGTATGGTTGCTTCGAATATCTCCTTCCCCACCTTCCTCATGGAATAAGTTGACAAAGAAATCTGTCGCTATTCTTTTAATTAAAGTTGGATTATCATTCCATTCCCCGTTCTCTTGTTGGATTGCTTCAATCTTGTTACGGCGCCTTCGTCCATTAGCTCTTGAGTGGAAGTATTTTGTGTTTTTATCCCCAAGAGCATACCATTGACTTTTAGCTTTCTGAGCCCAGAGCAAGTCTTCTTGGAGAATAATTTCCTCTAGTTCAAGCCAGAGTTTACGCTGTAGTTGATCTAAGGCAGAGGATTCCCCGGACGAAAGTATGCTACGTGAGATGCCCTCTAGTCTTCCCATTAACAAGCTTTTTCTCCTGCCTAAGTGACCGTAAGTTGTTTTGCTCCATTCAAGGAGGTCTTTAGTAAACTTTTCAATGTTTAACTCCCAGTTCTCGTTGACGTCCCATTTCTCTTTAACTAGCCTGCTGAAATCATCATGAAGCACCCAAGGAGCGTTAAAGCGAAAAGGGCGATGGACAAAGTTTTTAGAGAGTGTACCTGGTCTTAGCTGAAGGAGGATGGGACGATGATCTGATTTATACCAAGGGAGGTTTTTAACGACAGCATCAATATACACGTCTTTTGCCTTGGAATTTGATAAAACTCTGTCAATTCTACTTTCACACCCATTTCCCCTCCAAGTGTAGAAAGGGCCTGAGCAACCCATGTCCAGTAACTGTAAGCTTTCGACCCAATTGCTAAAGTCTCTGTCAACAGAAGTAGTTCTTATAGCATTTGATCGGCGTTCGTTGGAGAACAGAGTAGCATTAAAGTCTCCTCCTATGAACCAAGGCCAGTTGTTTCCTGGGTTGAGTGCTTGAAGTTTATTCCAGAGAGAGCGTCGAATCGTGATGTTTGGAGAAGCATAGACGGCGGTGATGAAAATCTTGTCTCCATTGTTTTCAACCACCGTGTGAATGTATTGACTGTTCACTTCAAGAACCGAGAGAGACCAGCTATTGTTTGACCAAGATATCCAAATTCCACCTCGAAAACCAGCAGCATCCACAATTTCACAGTGTTGGAAACCCAGTTTCTTGCTGATCTGTTTTGCCTTATCACCACTTGATTTCGTCTCGAACAGTGCACAAAGCTCAATTTTATATTTTTTCTTAAGTTCTCTTATGAGTCCTGGGAGTACCTTGGGCCCTGTGCCCCTGCAATTCCAGAAAAGGAAGTTCATGGGTCACTCGAGTTTGGGGTGTTCATGCTTATAGACCCCATATCATTCAAACTGTGTGTCCTCTTCTCGCTGAGACCATCCGAACTCTGGTTCATTCTGACCTGCACCATGGACATATCTATGTCAGGAGGCTGGTTTACGTCTACCTTCGAGTGGTGTGCCGTGTTCATTAGAACTTCATTCTGCGGTGAATCCCGTCCGTTGGCTACGCTAGGCAGATTGGGATAGTCAGTGTTAGGTCCATTCTCACTGAGGTCCATTAATGCCTCAAACGGATTTTTAGCCTGCTAGAAGTCAAATCTGATAATTGGTGGCCTCGGTGACGTGTTTGTAGCTGTCTGCATGCCAGGTGGCATCTTTTCTTTTGCTTTTTCCAGGCCTCTCTTTTTGGATATATCTATATGCTCCACCGGGACCCATCTCATATTTCGTTGATTCTCTTTTCCCATCTTTTTGGATTTGCCGTGATTTTCTTGCTGGATTCTTGCGGTATCTTTAGTATTTCGGTCCTCCTGTCGAATAGCCTCACGAGAATCATGGTTCTGATCTGATCACGTATTATGATGCTTAAAATTCTCTTGAGCATTTACTCCGGGCCCTGTTTCATCGGGTTTTCTAAATCTTCTTCCTCTTGGCCGTTGCACCAAGTTCCAAGCTCCAAGGCCTTCCGCCGCCGGCAAGTTGTATCTGTCAGAATTCTCACCGGATTTCTGGTCGTCCTGAGGGCGTTTGGGGATGCCGCTTTCGAAGATATTGTGTTGGGTTATTGGAGGTGATATGTTCATCTCGTTCGGCTCTTTGTTTAGGTCAACGTTTGCTGCCCCTGTTTTTATACCAGTTGCTGCGTTCTCAGTCCCAGGATGATCTGTTGTTGCTTCAGGGGTGGTACTCCTATCCGGACATGCATTCCTGTGATGCCCATATTTCGCGCAGTGGAAGCAGACGAGCTGGAGACCTTCGTACGCGATAACTCGTCGTCGGCCAAAGACATTGATGGCTGACTTTAGTTTCTTCTTAAGGTCTATCTCAATGCAGATTCGTGCGAAGCGGCCTCTTTCACTTGTATGCGTGATCATATCCACCTTTAGAGTTCTCCCGATCAGCTTTCCAATCAGTCGCAAGCTTTCTACGTTGAAGAATTCCAAGGGGAGGAGAGGTATACGGATCCACACGGCGATTTTCTTCTGCACCTTTGCTTCCCAAGGGTCAAAATTTGGCCGCCACCGTTGTACAGCGAGGTAGTGATCGGCAAACATCCAGGGTCCTTCCTGATATATCATATTCATGTCATCCTCATCGTCAAATGAGACAACGAAGAACCCATTGTCGAGGTCTCGGGTCGTGAAGGGATGCTCTGTTTTCCATATTCGTGCAAGATTTGTTTTCATTAGCCATAAAGGTGGGTTCTTACCGAGGAGCTTGATAATGAGTGACTTTCTCCACGGTGCACACCACCGTTCATAGTCTTCTCAGGGAACCTTTAACGTCGGGCAGTCTTCATCATCATCGACAACCTGTCCCTGGTCCTGGTCGGCATCAGCGTTTATGAAGTAGCTCTTGATGTTGTCGAGATATTCGTTCCATGCATCGTCGAAGACCCTACTTCCTTTCCTGTCGCTCGACACAGCCACGTTCTCCGTTCCCATCAGTTTATCTTTAAACGATTCAAGCTTTTCGTGACTCTCGGTTGCGTCAGTCCCTTCTTTTTCCTCGTTGTTCACTTTCTTGTACTTTTTCCGGCGTCGAGTGGCTGAGTCGCCTTCCTCCGGCATTCCTCCACCCCCACCGCTCTCAGAGAGATTTCCCGTTCCCATTAAAAATAAAGATGTTTCAAGTCGGATATAGAACCTATATTACAATTACGCAAATTAAATATGAGATGTTTAAGTTTACTCTGAATCATTTTAATATATGAATATTCAATTCAGTAAAATTGACCGGAAAATATGTGTTTTATAAAATCAAAAATATTTATTAAACTAAATACATATTTTTTTCGGTCGAAATTGAAAAGAATCCATTAAAACTGAATCATCATCAAACATGACATTTCAGTTTTCACTTTGTTTAACCAAAAACAAACTGCAATTTTGTTTCTTCTGGAATCTTTTCGATAGAGAGATTTTTTTTTTTTTGCTTGAAATTAAATGAAGCTAGCATAACAACAGAATAATTAAATCTAGGTTTTGTATTAGCTGAAAAAAAAGATTCTGTTGGGAGGAAAAAGAATCTCCTATACATACATACATATGTGTGTGTGATAAAATTGTATCATACATTCAAAAAAAAAAAAATGACATGGTGCCACTATATGAGAACAAACCCCTTTCATCCTCCTCCGCCTCGAAGCACCAAGGTGGAGGATGATCAAAGATGTTATGACAAATATGTAATGGGCGTAATTTTGCAAAAGCACGTATCTGCACATCTAACAACTCCTATGCGTGGAATTGAAGGTAACAATTTCTACCCATAAGCATCCTGGCTTCCTCCATGATTTGTGCATTTTGAACCAACTTGGAAAAGCCCAAAGGATAAATTATTCAACATTGGCTGTTTCAGGTTACCTTAGTCACCCGTAAATCTTGAGAATGGCAATGAATTGTTCCAGAGAAGTTATTCACTCACTCATTCTAACCTAGCTTGTCTGCACTGGCATGGCTTCAAATTTTGGCTACATTTAGGTGTTATGGGATTCATGATTTCAAGCTGTCTCTGAACTCTGAGGTCTCGTACTTGTTTGGCAGTGCAACCCTTTGTCCTTCTCTTTTCATGGAAAAGCTTCATATATAATTTGTCAAAGGTAATCAATCACTGTATTTTCCGGCTCTTCAGTTTCTAGAACTGATTTTTCTTTCTCATTACTCAAAAACTGTCAGCGTACAGCATCAGCACCTGTAAAATTACAGAATGTCAAGACCAAGTATAAAATCTGGGGCTCTCTGAGCTGTCGTTATTTGCTGATTTTTTTCCCCCCCTTGCTGGCGAAGCATTCATGGTGTGATTGTAAGAATGAGGACAGTTTATCATGTTGCCCCACTGTAAAAATATATTTGCTGTATTTTGTCTATTTTTCACTTTTTTACTGAGAGAAGATTCACAGTTATGTATACATCTCAAAATTGGAATTACCTGAATGGCTGCCGAGGCAATTCTATATAACCTGACATCAGTACTATCATCCTGAAGGATGGCTCCGTAAAACCATGTTAAAAGTGATTGAAAAAAATTATGCATAATGGTCAAATGAATAGATAAGGGGGCTAGAATTTTTTTTCTTTTTTGGACGGAAGGGTAGCAAGAATTACCCTTGTAGCTTGAATTCTTGCAACGTATGCATTCATAAAAGGATCCATGGCGCCACTTGCTGAACAAGTTTGAGCCAGAGACTCAACAACACCTAGCCCAATCGGAGAATCTTGACATTCAACGACCCAACTAGTCACCTATTTGATAACCAATAAATTAGGAAGTTATGACACCTAAAATTACACTGAAACTGAAGAAGCAAAGATCAATGAATTGACAAGAAAAGGAAAAATGTCATACAATAACTATTTGTTACTTCAATGAAATAATGTGGTAGAGAAACGATGAGTCAATTTTATCTAAATTCAAATATCTAAAAGCCAGAAAATTTTGCAACCTCATAATATTTGAAACTAACAACAGCTGAACAGCAAGGAAACCATAACTTCCACTAAGACATGAAGGGTTCAACATCAACAAGATAACCCCCAAGGTATAAGCCTTTGCCTTTTTTTTTTTTTTTAATCCTTTTTCCCTTTATTAGCACTGCTAAAAAGTTCATGAAGAAATCTGTATGAAGAGCATCATGAAAGTAATTTGTGTAATTAACAACCTTATTCTCCATGATATATATATATATATGTATATGTATATATGCAACAGCCATACTTAATTGGAAATGGAAGTTTTACAACTTTCCAAACAAAACTACCTTTACAATGCTTTGGTCAAAAGGTGACCATAGAGCTTCCAAATTCTTGAATACTCGGCGAGTGCATTACGTACCTCATCAATGAAGTTCCTCTTGGGACTCCGAATGATCAATTTTCACAGAGCGCTCATGGTTTCATAACAACAACTCTCCATTTTTGAGCAATCCTTAATAGTTATTTCCCTGTAAGACGGCATCTCAAGCTGGTAATTACTCGAGCAGAAACATTTAAGGTTGGGAAGACTTAAAAGGGTCAGCCACTTCAGTTCTGGGAATACAATCTTCTTGGCCTTGCTGGACTCTCCTTCCTTCTCTGTTGTGACTATCTCCTCTATCATCTCACATTCATAAACTGATAGTTCTTGCAGTTGCAGAAGGGTCCTGGCTGTGGAAGGAGGGAACACACTTCTTAAACCATCACAACACCCGATGTTTAGCTTTCTAAGATTATGAAAACCTAAGACTACTTCACCATGGTTTTTCCACATGTGCATTAGTTTGGGTAGAGAGCACAAATGCATTTCTTGCAGATTATATTCATACAATGTCATAGCATTAGCATGCTCTTTATCTTCATTTGCTTCTACTCCTTCTGATTCAAATATCTCCACCAGTGAACAACATTCTCGGACCTTGAGCTGTTTCAAATGCTGCAGTCTATGCAGCATGTTGGATGGAACACAGTTCAACAGCTTCTCGCAACCTTCAACGACCAGCTCTGTTACTCTTGTTATGTAGCCAAGTAGGATTTTATCTTGCTCAATCCAATTGATTGTCTTTGATCTTTGAAATGCTGCCTGAAATGGAAAGATCTTGTCATGTTGATGAGAAAACCTAAGATTCTTCAATTTAAAGAGCATTCTCTAATGTTTTTCCTCACTTACAGATTGCTAAGGTTACTTTTGCCCTGTAAAAGTTTATAAACAGAATAGCTGTATCTTGATTATAAAAATAGTGTAACTTGTACAGATTTCCTGTGAATCTCATTGAAACTAGTATTATTCCCTTTGCAAATGCACAAGGAGTAAAAAGCGTCACATTTTATTGAACAATAAAACAAAAATAATCGTTATACTTCATAAAGTAGAATATGCTGCATTGTAAAATTACTTTTTCCCCGCAGAAGTTTATAAGCAGGATAGTTATATGTTGTTTATAAAAATGTGTAAATTGTTCAGACTTACCTTCAATTTTACTAAAATTATGCTCCACTATTGTCAAAACTAATGTAAACACCACATAAATTTTACTAGAAATAGGCCTACTTATATATTTTTCCCTTGGAATAAAGAGCAATTCATGTGAACTTTCCCTAAATTTTGTTGAAATTGCACAATTTCATTCATTTTCAAAGTATATACAGATAAATATTTAAAAAAATAATAAAAAGAATTGAGGTCTGTATAATGTCCATACAATTCATAGGCTTGTATGATTTTTTTTAAAACTTTCTGGAGGGGTTTGTATCTGGTTTGAAAACAGAACAAATATCCTTGTAATTTTATCAAAATTCAAGGATGCTCATGAAATTTACATTTTATTTTCAAGTAAAAGCGGTGGATATTTTTAAAATAGGTCTCCAAGAAATTTCAACAAAATTTAGGAGATGTCCATGCAAATCAAGTATCAAAGAGAAATAAGACATTCCATGGAAGCTGGAACTTGGAATTTGGAATTAAAGAGTTGGAGAAATCATACACATGGTTACCTTCAAATCTCCTGAATGAGCTTGGTAGATTGTCATATTAAGGTCTCCCATGATGTCTACATACTCATAGGAACCTTTGTATATATTAGAAAGCTTTGGTATACTTACAGCTCCATAGGAAAAGGTCGTCATCTTTGGGCATTTTTCAATTACCATTTCTTCGCAGAAGGGAAGTTCAAAGTCTACACTTTCTGAGGAAAAACATTTGAGACTGGGGAGATGACGAAGCTCCAACTTGTTCAGCAACGGAAACAATATCTCAGCTTTATTTGCTCCTTCAGATTCTTCTTCAGCTTCCTTCATTACTATCTCCTCCATCATTTGACAACTGTATGCACGAAGGTGTTGTAGCTGGACAAGACTTTTGGCCATAGAAGGTGACAGTATACCCTTCAAATTGCCACAGTATTCAACCTTCAATATTCTCAGATTCTGGAAGTCCAAAATCTCTTCATGATTTTTCCATATGCGAATCAACTTAGGAAGAAAAAGCAAGTTCATGACTTCTAGCTCATAGTGTATCATGCTATGCCTCTTCTTTTTGTTTATTCCTTCTGATTCAAACACTTCAATCAGTGAACCACAGCCCTTTACTATGAGGTTCTTCAGATTCTGAAACAAGTGCATCACATTGGATGGGACTAGAGTCAGTAAACTTTGAAAGCTTTCAACAGTCATCTCTGTTTCTTTCATAAAGTAGCTAAGCATGCCTTGTTCCTGCTTGAGCCAGCCAAGATTCTCTGATGTTTGAAAAGCTAACTGCAAAACCCACATCCACGTGTTAACAAAAATTGTTTTTTTTTTTAATCTCAATAAAAATGATAATTGAAGAAAACTGAAGAGTTCTGAAGAAATTCTTGCGGGGACATGAGCTACTACGAAGTAACCAATACAAGAATAAAATTTAAGCAATTAAAGCGCTTGAATCTGGCAATGTTATGCTTAAGGATATGTAGCTTTCAAGTGCTTAAGTTATCGCTTTTGGCTGGAACAAACCTGTGAGTAGCCATAACCCCATAAGAATTGCTCTCCCGTTGCTTCCTTTAGAATTTTAATTAGATGATGGAAAAAAAAACATAACAAATACAAATTTTATAGATGAGAAAGGACGAAAAGAACTGGGCTTACAATTCCTTTGGAAAGTTGAGCAGTGGTGTTCAGATCTCCCATCCATATGACTTTGGTAAGGTTTCCAACTTTCATGGTAATACCTTTTAGCTTTGGAGTGTTTGGAAATCCATATGAGAATACCTCCATCCTATGGCAATTTCCAAAACACACTTCTTGCAGTAACGGGAAATCCAAGTCATAGGAACCATGGCAGAAGGCTTCAAGTTTGGACAGGCATTCAAGTTTCAGACGCTTCAATCTAGGGAACACAATCTTGAAAAAGTTTGCATGAATTTCTTCCTTTGATACTATTTCCTTTATGTTCTCACAATCACATATCTCTAGCTCTTGCAGATGCACAAGACTTGCTGAAGATGATGTAGAGAACAAACAGCTAATTTTTTTGCATTCTTTTACCCCTAGGTATGTTAGATGTGAAAACCAAAAGCGGTTTATAGAAGGAGCATTCCTTATCATTCTCTGTTCATCATAAGCAACCTACAAAACGAAGATTTTGTTGCAATATTTCATCTTTCATTCAACTACGACAAAAATCAACTATCATATTTACTTAACGTTAAAATAACTTTTGGATTATTTGTTAAATGTAATAATTAACTATCTAAACTTTCCTACTATCACGGCGTCTCACGGCAAAATAGCTTTGATTTTAATATAGTCGAGGATTGATAAATAATATAAGACATATATCGGTGCAATTGCTAAGTGCATATTTTATAGTTAAACTGGAATATATTTTGAATTATATTTGATTAAATGTATAAATATTTTATACCTATCTAATTAATTTTATATACATTTCCCCTGTACACACTCAATTATAGGATAAAAAGTATTCGTGCTGCAAAATCTACTTATGTCCAATTTTTATTTTGCAGCCAAAATTATCAAATAAAGAAAAGATGGAAAGAAGAAAATCAGAAGAGGAAAAGAAGGAATGGAAGAAACAAAACAAAATCAGTCCCCATTTAAAAATTTTCTTAGCAAGATTAGGACATTTTAAGAGCAACAATCACTGCTATTGCGAAGACACAGAGTGAAGTTTAGACATCCCATGTTGATCAAAAAGAAAATAAAAGTTTTGTCATCCCATCAGGTGAATTCAATCCCCATCGATTGGATCAACGTTTATTCCTTCTCTTGTTTAGTTTCTATAAATTTTGATTTTCACTTAATTACTATCTTGTGTTATAACTAAATTTAATTGGATTGGTAAAACTCAACCTCCCTGTGGGTTCAACATCTAAATACTCCAGCTAATGTACTACTACAATCCCACATGCTTATGGGACCGATCACCTATTTATAGATAAATGTATATTTAACCATTCAAAGTAAAATCATACAGTGAAATAAACAAGAAATAAATGAACATTTAGCTATTCTACCTGATCTTCTTGATGATGGCCGTTGCCTCTGTATTTCTTTAAATATGGCTGCTCAGGAATACAAGGTTGGCAGCAGAAGCTCACAAGATTTGGCAGACGGCTTAAAGTAAGAGACTGTACTTGATCAAATGAAGTCAGGTCTGTTGTCCACTCTCCATTCTTGATGATAACTTCTAACACGCTGCAGTTAATAATGGTGATTCTCTTCAGGGATGGAAACTCCAAGACAAATGAATCTTTGGAGATGGATGTTGCATGATTTGGTAATGCATTCTCAAAAACTTCAGGAGAGTTTGCAGAAGAAGATACAACTGAGCCATCTTCGCTTTTGACCAGTTGCTCCACCATCCTACAGTTTGATACCTTCACATCTTGCAATTTCACAAGAAGCCTTGCTATGGAATGAGAGAACAGATATCTTAAATTGTGACAAGCTTCTAAACTTAGCAGCGTGAGGTTGTTGAAGCCTGTGATTTCCACTGGACTTGTCAACGTGGGCATCAGTTTTACTATACAGTTTGCACTAGCCTTGGAACGCTGGTTTTGTTCAAGCTGGAATATAGCATCTAATGAATCCCAGCCTTTGACTTGAAGCTGTTCCAGATTTGGCATGTAGGACCTCATTTCTTCTCTAGTATATATTTCCTTGACATGAGAAGATATATGGTCTCTCGTCAAATTAGCCTGAAGAGAAATTTAGTAACGTCAAACGGGAGACTAATCTAAGAAAATGGTAAAAAGAAGAGTGTGTCTATAGATATATATTTCATGTCTCAGCCCCCCCGTCCCAATCAATATAGGGTATTTGTTAGGGAGATAAATATGGAAAATAAACTGTCAGACTTGTTTAGTAGGTTACGAGATAACAATTCCTTGAGCTTTGAATGAATAGCCGCAGACTTTATTGATAAGAACAGAAACAGAAAGACAAGTATACACATTTGATTAATCAAATGATACCTGGTTGCTGATCTTTCCTGCTCGGAAATTTGATTTGGCCATTGAGTTGGAAATCTCAATGCTTGATTGGGTGCATCCAAGGCAACAAGGGAGAAACCTAGGAGTGCTGAAACCAATATCCTGGAGGGTAGAATCTGAAAAGGAGTTGCTGAGATTCTCTTCCTTTGCTAGGTCTTGAATTGGCAATGAAGATGTCTTCAGCTGGGGACATCCTTCAATGCATAAATATCTCAGAGATGGCCAGGCTAGCTCATAGCAATCTGGACAAATACTCACAAGGTTTGGGAGATGCTTAAGTGTCAAAGAATCTAACTTGGCAAACAGAAGAGTTTCCACTTCCTCTTGTTCTCCTCCATCATCATCCCCAACAACTTTCTCCATCAACTGGCAGCTGTGTATCACCAACTTCTGAAGCTTTGTGAGTGTTCTGGCAACGGTGGGAATGAAGATGCTTCTTAAAGCATCACATTTCTTGACTTTGAGTGATCTCAAGTTCTGAAAGCCTTGAATATAACTTGGAACATTACTCCAAATATTTCTTAGCTTGCTAAGCCAAGATATCTCTATTTCTTTGAGCTGAGAAAATAGCATAGGACCTGGCTGGCCTTCGATTTCCGACTGTTTCAAGTCAAAGACAGTATCTAACAAAGAGCACTCAAGTAATAAGATTTTCTCCAATTTTGGGAACTGGGGCATCCATTTGGATTCAAATAGTGTACCGCCAATGTGAACGGATGCGTCAGCTCCTAATACTGAGTTGGACCCTAGCAGATGTTGACCATCTTCAAGCTTCTGTTCTTGAACCTGTGCAAATCCATTGCATGGCTCATTTACATCACCAATTTTATGAGATATGACTTCACTTAGAAACTTAATGTGATAAGATCAAACAAATCAACTTAACTCGCTAACTCATAAGCTAGGTGGGTTAGCTTATTTGAACATTGTTTCTTCTTTTTTTTTTGTACAAAAATTTCATGCAGGGGTTCGAGCTCAACCAAGCCAAGGGCAATATATTTGAACAGCTCCTTTTAGGTGATATCAATGTTGAGTAAGGCAAACCTATATTATACTTTCAAACATAAACCCAAGCACCCTCGTTCTAGGATGTTTTCCCAAACGCCGCAACGGGAATCAGACACCCTCCCCTGTGGGTGAGGGTGTGTGGTTCTTACCGCTAAACCCATGAACAACGGGTGAATATTTTTTTTTGTTTTTTTTAAGAACCTCAAGTATAAATAATATCTCCCAAGTTAATGCACCAAATATTGGAAACATAATCCTAAATTAAATTTAAAAAATATCTTAAATTCCGTGATTTTTTATTTCGAATTCTTGATTTTTTTTATGATAAAACTATTTCTACGTGACAATATTTATAACTTCTTGAAGTTTAAAACAGTAAAATGATATAAGACATTTGAATGCTTCCTTTTTGTTATGACAATATATTAGAAAATTAAATGTTTGAATCATTTTTGTTAATCTTTAATTTTTCTGATAAGTTAAACCAATTAATGTACTTAATCTATCAGATAAGTCAAGTTTGGATTTTACAACTCATCAGATTAAAGTAAGTTAAATGAGTCATCCCATTTTAACCCGTAATCCATGATAGGTTCACTTATTTAACTCATCTAACTTGTTTTAATGGCTTTAGGCTCAGCACATTGTACTTTATATTATTTAACTCACCTATATACATATGCTTCCTAATCATGCAACCAAAGAAAACTAAGTTATTACACAAAAGAATTTGTCATTACTGTTAATGTCATCCAATTAGAATGTGTGGATTTAAAAAAAGGAAGCAATTTATTGATATAGTAATTAATGTGAATCATAAATTTAATATATGAGAATCATAATCTTATATCTATATTAATTAGTATTTGTAATCATTTAGGAAGGATAAAAGTAATCAACATGACATATTTCTGCAAAACCAATGACGAAGTCTTTTCATGAACCATACAAACTGGCGTGCATATACAAGATGTGAAATATCATACGTGGAAGATAGGCAACAAAGTGGTAATTACTAGGAAGAAGCAAACCTGGGATTCTAAGAGATGAAGCTCGTTGTTATGATCCGGTATAGCGAACCCAACAAGGCTTGGGAGTTCTTGTAGCTTCAGTTCCACTAGATTTGTGAACTTGATCACTGAATTCCCATCATGGATTTGTTTGGAGAACATACATTCAATCCCATAGCATTCAGTCACCTGCAAGCGTTCGAGCATCCCAACACTTGACTTCTGAGATGGTGAAAAGATATACTTCAACTTGTTGCAGAATTCTACTTTGAGATCACTCAAACTGCCAAAGCATTGGCAACTAGAGGTGAAAGTCTTGGCATGGCATATCTCCCTTAAATTGTCCAAATTGTGCATAGACAATGATTGAACCAGTGGGAAGACACAACTTGAAGCATAGACAGTTTCATCTGTTAAATACTTCAGTTCGTTGCAGAATTCAATGCTGAGATTTTTTAAGTGCGGAAAACCTTCTTCATCCAACTCACAGATCAAGTTTTCTAATTGTTTTACATTCACAAGGTTGAGAATTTCAGATTTCTTAAGCAATTGTTGAATTGCCACATTCTCTTTAATGTCCTTATGGTACACACTGTTTAGTTTAAGGATGTTAGGATGTAGATATCCTCGACGACCAAAGCCATGAGAAAGAGTAGTTGGGTCTCTCACATAGATCCAGAACTTAACCAAGCTTTTTAACTCGAAATCTTTAGGAAAATTATGAATTCCTGTTATTGAAATCTCAAGAACTTTTAGCTGATGACAAAGAGATTTGAGGTCTGCAAGAATGGAATTCTTTTCCTCCCAATGGAAATTCCTGACTCTAAGATAAAGTTCTTCTAAGTTAGATAAGCTAGCTAGGACCCCGGAAGACATCTAATCAAGATCATTGCAATCTGTCAAATCCAACAGTCTTAGAAGGCTTAGTTTGCCTATTTCTGCTGGCAATTCTTTGATATTTGAGCGGGCAAAGCTTAACACTTCCAGTTTCCTTAGCTCCTTACAGATTACCGATATGTCTCCAACCTGACAATCTTCCAACCGTAAGGTGCAGAGGCTGTTGAGTGATCGGAATGGAGATGACATTGATGGAACGCACAGATTGCTTATGCCTAAAACCGTTAGCTTGCCCATGTTATGGAAGAAATTTTCGGAAATGGGTTCTCTTCTCTTTAAATAAAGTTGCAAAAGTCTAAGGTTTGGACACTGCAAACGCTTAGGATGCATCTTAATCTCATCAAACACAAGTGAGATTGCACTATGATGCCATATAAACTCCTTTGACCCCGTCTGTCCGGCATCATATTTCACTGCAAATCCATGCTCTTCTTTGGATCCAATTGTTATGACAGTATCACGAACGACATCATGCATTTTCACACACTCTTCCTCATTGCTGTCCAGCAACAAAAACCGCTTCTTTAGAGTATCAACCAAGGTATGCACTCGATTCCTTGCTTTACACAAAGCACCCAGATCCTTGAACAAACCCAAGCCCACTCCATATCTTAGAAGAACTTCAATAGGAATGTCAAAGTCTTCTGGGAATAAGCAACAAAGCAAAAGGAGAAATTTAGCTTCTTCGTTGCCTAGAAAGTCATAGCTTAATTCAATACATGAATATATAGAATATTCTTGCATCTCTGAGAAGGAAGTTAGTGAAGACTTTCTCAGCTGATCAAGTGCATCCTCCCATGCATGCTTCTCCCTGTTCCCTAGTGCTTTTGCTATTGTGACAATAGCAATTGGCAAACCCCTACATTCATTTGCAACCTCTTTTGCTATGTCATGAATCTCAGCTTTGTCCACAACATGACCGCCTACTGTATCCCTGAAGAGATCCCATGCTTCTTCTTTAGAGAGAACGGGCATAGTGAAGTTCCTCTGACTTATCATCCTGTGGCACACATCTTCATTTCTTGATGTGAATAAAATTTTGCACCCCCTGTGACACTGCCCATTTGAAGGAAGCCCTATCAACTCGAAATCCAGCTCTGTCCATACATCATCCAGCACTACGAGGACCTTATTGATCTTGTTAAGCCTCTCAAGCAGTTGGCCTGCCCTTCCTTGTAGAGTTTCCTTATCAAATTTCAAGCCTAAGGTGTCACCAATTTGACCTTGAATCTTTCTATAGTCAGGAACTTGGGACACGATAGCCATTGAAATTTCATCAAACACCTTATCTGCTTCTAAAATTTTGATGAGCTCTTTCACTAATGTGGTTTTCCCCACACCACCCATCCCACAAACGCTTATCCTGTTGAACTCATCACCCTTCAATTTATCTACAACCTCGGTAATAATTGATTCTCTTGAGGCAAAGCTCTTAATTCCTTCTGTGAAAGTGGATCCTAGTGATGGTAAAGGTGCAGGGTAGGATATGAAGTCAAATTTTTGCTCCTTCAGGGAAACAAGATCTTGCGCCATTTTTCTTGCTTTCTTGCTCAGTAAATAACGAAACACCAAATTTGGACACAACCCTTTGACGCATTTCTTGCTCTTGTTGACCAACTCACGATCGTCCACTTCATTTAATTTGTTTTCTACCATGTTGTCCACTTGGTAGAGCCAGTGTTCAACATTTGGAGCAATGCGACGTCCATTCCTCCTGTCTACGTCCACCATTCCTTCAATAGCACGCTTCCTTTCTTCCAAGTTGTTGAGTTCATTCTTCATTTTATTGATATTTTTGTCATAGTGAATCAGATGTTTGAATTGCGACGTGATTGGATCCATTAACATCTCCCCCAGTTTTGACACAATTCCTGTCCCGATTGCCACAAGAAACTCCATTTTGGTTTAGCTTGAGCTTACGTATGCTTGTCACTCTATTCTATGAAGCCAAGCCCAACCCCCCACCCCAAAAAAAAAAAAAAGTTAGCAAAATCAATTCGAGGGTCGTTGCTCCCTCCATTCCTTTTTATAAGTAATATTGAACTCAATTACATGATCAAAAAGTTAGTTAAAATTGGTTAAACACAATAAATATATAAAAATTGAAAGTTCTTTCTCCAAAATATCCTTATTTATAAAAGAAGAAAGTATGAGAAAGAAATTAAGAAGATTATTATAAAAAAAAATTATAAAAGAAAAAGAATGTGTGATAAAAATAGATATAATATGAAAAATGAGATAATTAATATATTGAGTATTAAAATAAATAATTAATAAAAAATAAAGAATTTGCAATTTAAAATAACTTGTGAATGTTGTTGAGAAATTCTTACGTACAGTGAGAGTAACACGTCGTCTGTGATCTTCCTAATTAAACGAAACCAATTGAGATAAATTCAGACTCACATCACACATGGCCTTACTGGTCAGAGAAATAAAAAGTTATGGATCCCACAAAAGTTTATATATAACAGTTTCTCTCTCCGTCAATTTGACGTCTGCCTCTTCCTCCCATTTTCACTTCCAACGGCAACAATGCTCCTCTTTTCTCTTCCATCAAAAGCCTTACGCGCTGTTTGGTTAGAGGTTTTTCAAGAGAAAGGGAGAGGACGAAAGGTAAGAGGATGGATTAAACATGTTTGGTTCAAAAAATGAAAGGGAGGGGAGAGAAAATTTGTTTTTTTTTTTATTGCTACCCTCCCCTCCAAATTTGGAGTTCTTTGAGGGGAGAAAAATTTTATATGTCATCCTGATTAAATTATTCTTACCCATTATTTAATATTACAAGTTTGCCCTTTTTCCCTAAAACCACTTTTTTCATCTCCTCCTCTCTCTCAGATCCGCTCTATTCTCAATCTTTTGATGGAAAGTATTCTTTTATACTTGGAAGAAGAACAAACCATGACGAAGGGATATAAAAATAATATTTTGAGAAGTAGCTTGTGCGTCCGATGCTAACAATGAATATGTACAAATATTTTGCATACAGCGACAACAATCCATTTTATTTTTTTTATTTTTATCGTACTTTTTAGAAGTATAAAATTTTAACAAGCATATTGAAATTAATGAAACGATATGTTATAATTAATAAAAATTACTATTTAAAATGGATATAATTTTGAGAAAATCGCAAAAAAAAAATCATGAAATTTGAAAAATTATAAATAGGGACCCGTAACAATATTATTATAGGTTTTGATAATAATTTTTATCAATAAGTCCTTGTCTACAATTTTTCAAATTCCACAATCTTTGTTTGTGATTTTTCCTATAATTTTTTGTGTCACGTGTAGGTATGGTGATTAATTTTTTGAAATTCATAAATTAGAAAATAATAATTCTGATTTAAATATTATAATAGCATAAGAAAAAATTTTAAATAAAAAGATAAGAGTATATTTGTCACTTTATAATTAATTCTCATTCCTCTCTGTTTTTGAACCAAACAAAAAATTCCTTTTCCATCCCTTTCTTTTGAACCAAACAAAATCATAACCCTTTTTTTTCCCTCTAATTAACCTCCCCTCTCCTTCTTTCTGTTGAACCAAACAAAACCTTAAAGCCGCCAAATCCCTCGGCTATTTGAAAACCGCCCAACGTGCATCCCCACAATATGTTAGTTATTATTAAAAATATTTATTTATAACATTTATGTTAACTAAGTTAATGTTACAAAATACATTAGTTGTCATAGGAAAAATTACAAAAAAAAGACTTTGGAATTGTACAAACACAGATAGGGATTTTTGACAACTTCACTATAGTTTTTGACAATAATAATATGCCATGAAGTTGTCAAAACCCAAAGTGAAGTTGTCAATGGTCCCTATATGCGTTTTTGTAATTCCAAAGTCTTTTTTTGTAATTTCCCCTTAGTTATATATTAAAATATTTATTTATATCTAATATACGTTTAAATAAAATTCAGCGGTATTCTAGAATTTTAGGGGTTTCTTAATATATTTGTACGTCAATTAGATTTGTTTACCTTAAACATATAAGTAATATATATACACACACATATGTATATGTAAATAAATTGAAAAAATGGACCCAATGGATATATGCATATTGTATAAAAAAAATCACATATAACAAAATCTGATCAAATAAACCTAATTCATATAAGTGAATTGATGTAAGTTTTGTTTTAAAAAAAATACTACTTTAGCTTTAAATATAGGAGATAGATAAGATATTCATTTTAATCTTAAGTATAAGACTTAGTTTATTTTACCTCTCAAATTTATAATTTTTTTTAAAGTGTCTTCATTAATTATGCATAGTAAGGAGATTTTCATGACTGGTGGTATGGTTATAATGCATATGATTTTTAAAAATATTTAAATTTTTAATATTTATAAATTAATTATCTATATTTTATATCAAATATTAGTGTAAAAATAGTTGTGTGTGACAATTCAATTAAATGTGACTTAAAATTTAAAAGAATTTGCAAAATTGTAATAACAATCAAAGTTTAACAAGTACTCATTCCCTTCCGTTTTATAAGAAATTATTACTCAAATTACGTTGTTTAAAATGTTAATTAAAATTAGTTGAGGACAATAAATAAGTAAAAAGTGTAACTTTTTTGTTAAAAATACTCTCATTTATTAATTTATATCAAAGAAAGATAATGTGTGAGAGAAAGAATGTGTGAAAATTAAATATAATGATATAAGTCATATAAGTAATTAAATAGGAGTAAAATGAAAAATCAAGACACAAAATTTGAGAGAACCTCTGAATGTTTTTTTATAAAGAGAAACATTACATACTTCACGATTATAGGGAATGGAGGAAGTAATAAAATAGTTTTTCCACTAAAAAAAAATTAATATATATATAACTATGTATGTGTCATTTTATAACATTAACTCAGTTAGTATAAATGTTATAAATAAGTATTTTTAATATATTATGGGGAAGGACATGTTGGTGGAGTGGGATTAAACTGATCAACGTTTTTTGGGGTGGTTTTCAAATTTCAACAGCTGACGGATTTAGTGGTTTGATGGGAGAGGGAAAAGGGACATCGTTGGAAGTGAAAATAGGAGGAAGAAAGAGACATTAAATGGACGTGCCCCCGGTACATGCAAGAATTTCTCAATATTACTTATATTTAGAAATAAAAAGGAGATTTAGTTGTTGCTTATAAAAAAAAAAAATAGAGGGAATATAAGGTTTCAAGCCATTTATTAGGATTTGGCTTACTATGGATTAAGGTTATTGTAGACTAACGGTTACAATATTTCTCTCTAGCTCTACGGAAGGATTGATGCTCTAATTGTATGCATAACTTTTTTGAAAAAAAATCAAAGGTCATCATGGAAAAATTCATGGACAAAACTTCTCTCATGAATCATTTAGGGTTTATTTGGTTTCCTATTTTCAAAATAACTTTTGGTTTTGAGCAAAAATTAAAAAAATACTTGAAAATATGTTTCAATTATATGTTAGGAAAAACAAAAAAGTTAAAATTTATTTTGAAAACAAAAATAAAATAAAATATTTGTATGTTTTGTTATTGTTTTTCTACAAAATCGGATAAAAGATAGATAACAATATGATTAAGATACATCCAACATCTTGAAATACTTTTTTAGGTGCATCCCAACACCCTAAAATATTTTGTGGTGTATCCAGCACTCTAAAATATTTTTTGAGAGGAGGTTGATATTTTCTAATCTCACTCACATAAGTTTGTCCAATCTCAAGTAAGTAACAAACAATTCCTCATACTAAATACTCTTTTAATGAGTTTTCTTAATCTCAATCTCAATCTCAATCCTTACCTTTTCATAGCAAACGGGACCATAAAGTAAACTCTTTTTGGTAAGGGGAAACTTGAATGATATGCTTTTTCAACCTCATCATTCATAAAGAACCTGGCCTTAGCTTCATGCCTTTATGCTCATCAGCCTTGTGTTTCATAGATTTATTTCCTCAATATCCACCAAGTCTCCAGTAAATTTTCCCGTATCATTCATCAAAGCAATGTCATATGGCATGTCGCATGATATCCAACAATAATTTTAAAAAAAAAAAAACTACATACATCTTTATTACTTCAAGGAAGGATTCAGTAAAACAGGTTTATTAAAATGGCCTAACTTTAAGTGAAAAGTTTATTGGCTCCAACTAAATTTAATCAAATGAACTTGCATGCCGGACCCTAAACCGAAAGATCACACGCCTATATATAATATAATAGATATAGCAATCTTGAATTAACAGAAGCGTTCATATATAAAAGCTTACCACTGTATGTACTGGAACTGAAGATCTGGGACAGACGCAGCAAAAAGAAACGCCTTAAACTGATTCCAACAACAACCTAGGAGAACCGAAAAAGGCTGGTTAGAAATTATTTGATGATGTTCTTTTAAACTTCAGACAAAGTTGGAAGCTTAGTTAACATATTTTTAATGGGGTCTTAATTAAATAGCCATATCTTCTTCCTTCCTCGTTGCTGCTCATAGTCAATCTTTTTGTCGTATTAGCTACACGTGGCAAAAAAAAACTCTCAGAAATGAATATATATGTACATACACATTGTATCACCTGCTTTGCTTCGAAGAAAGTCTGTTTGTGGGGTTCCTTTCAATTTGGCTGAGCTTTCAACTGACTTTCCATATCGACTATAATAATTCTGAGGATTATTTTGGTATTATGCGAGTAGTTATTGACCTAGCTATAGCTTTCTTCTCTCCTACAGATCCCGTATGCATCAATTGTAAGATTCAGGAAGGCTATTAAATCAACAGCAACATGGTAAAAGAAAAGAAATAGTTGATAGATTCCTGCATATGTACATTTAGTACGTAGACATGTCATGCATCCTCACCCACAGATCTCTGTGAAGAAACATGCACGCCCCCCATTAATCACGC